CTGTCTGTTCCTGGACACGCTGCTTGGTCCTCTTTTGGTGGGATCTTCTGTCACGAACGTTGACTGATGACTCGTGGAACCAAGGCGCAGCGTGATAAGCGTACATTTTATTTAGTACACAACACACGAACAAAACAACAAAACTAACGATACGTGAAGTCCTGAGGTTAACAACACAAACCTTTACGGAACAAGATCCCACCCCGACTAGTGCCAAACAGGCTGCCTAAGTATGGTCCCCAATCAGAGACAACGAGCTACAGCTGCCTCTGATTGGGAACCACCCTGGCCAACATAGATCTAAACGATCTAGAACTAAACATAGAAAATAAAACATAGAAACTCCACACCCTGGCTCAACATTTAAGAGTCCCCAGAGCCAGGGCGTGACAGCTGTTCAGAAAAGGACCTCTATTAATTCAGGTCTCATGTCCTCCTGATCTGACGACACCTGTATATAGCTTTGTTTGTTCTCTGTGTCCTATGTTCTCTCTGTTTGGATTGCTTTCATTATTTATGTATTTTTTAACAAACGTTTTGCACCTTGGGTGTGAGAAATGCACTTTACAAATTAAATGAATTATTATTATTACTATTATTATTCAATCAAATCAAATCAAATGTTATTTGCCACATGCGCCTAATACAACAGGTGTAGACATTACTGTGAAATGCTTACTTACAGCCCTTAACCAACAATGCATTTATTTTTTAATAAAAAAGTAAAATATAAAAACAACAAAAAAGTGTTGAGAAGAAAAGAGCAGAAGTAAAATAAATAACAGTAGGGAGGCTATTGTCACGAACGTTGAGAGACGGGTCGGACCAAGGTGCAGCGTGAAAAGCGTACATGTTTATTAACTCAAATAAACATACAACAATGTAACGTGAAGTCCAAAGGGCTATGCACATACCAGCCTGACAGGAACAACATCCCACAATGCACAGCAGGCAATGGGCTACCTAAGGATGCTCCCCAATCAGAGACAACGATTGGGAATCACACCCGGCCAAACCTAGTACTGCAACATAGAAATAGACTAACTAGAACATAAACATCGAATATATAACATAGAAACTCACGCCCTGACCAAACCAACTAAAGACAACAGGCCTCTCAAGGCCAGGGTGTGACAGTATCCCCCCAAAGGTGCGTACTCCGGCCGCACCAACCTGACTCATTAGGGGAGGGTCCGGGTGGGCTTTCAACCTCGGAGGCGGATCCGGCTCCGGGCGTGACGACCTCTTCCTCTCTGCCTCCCCGTTGCGCCCCTGGTCTGGTCTGGACCTCGACGCGATGCTTCCCCTCTCCTTCCTCCCACGATGCACCAAGCCATGTCTGGACCCTGGTGTGGGAGACCCCGAATCTGGAGAGGGGCTGACGTCTGGGCCTGGATCGGCAAACCTCCCGCAATGAACCAAGCCCTGTCTGGACCCTGGTGTGGGAGACCCCGAACATGGAGAGGGGCTGACGTCTGGGCCTGGATCGGCAATCCTCCCGCGATGCACCAAGCCCTGTCTGGACCCTGGTGTGGGAGGCCCCGAACCTGGAGAGGGGCTGACGTCTGGGCCTGGATCGGCAATCCCCCCAAGATGCGCCAAACCCTGTCTGGACCCTGGTGTGGGAGGCCCCGACCCTGGAGAGGGACTGACGTCTGGGTCTGGAGTGGAGCCGCTGACCGGAGCTGAACTGGACCCCGGTGGAGCGGAATGCTCTGACTCCGGAATGGAGCCGCTGACCGGAGCTGGATCAGGCACCGGTGGAGCGGATTGCTCTGGCACCTGAGTGGAGCAGCTGACCGGGGCTGGACTGGGCACCGGTGGAGCGGACTGCTCTGGCTCCGGAGTGGAGCTGCTGACCGGAGCTGGACTGGACGCCGGTGGAGCGGAATGCTCTGGCTCCGGAGTGGAACCGCTGACCGGAGCTGGACTAGGCACCGGTGGAGCGGACTTCTCTGGCTCCGGAGTGGAGCCGATGACCGGAGCTGGACTGGACGCCGGTGGAGCGGAATGCTCTGACTCCGGAATGGAGCCGCTGACCGGAGCTGGATCAGGCACCGGTGGAACAGGCCGGGCTGGACTGGGGACACACACCACTGGTCTGGTGCGAGGAGCAGGAACAGGCCGGGCCGGACTGGGGACACGCACCACAGGTCTGGTGCGAGGAGCAGGAACGAGCCGTGCCGGACTGGATACACGCACCACTGGCTTGTGAGGAGCACTGGTGACACAGTGCATATCTCCGCATACCTAGTTTCTTCTATGAACACACACTCCTTCTGTTGCCTGACCAGCTCCTCTCTCCTTGCCTCCACTACTTCCTTCTCCGTTTGAGCCTGATGTAGCACCTCCCTCTGAACGGATAACTCCTGCTCCCTCTGATCTAACAGCCCCCGTAACGTGGTGGCCTCCTCTCTGACTCTCGATCCGCAGGTCTTGGAGGACCTCGAAAATAGCGGCCTCCTCCTCACTAGTCACCCCTTTCCCGGCCTCCTGCTGCCTCGTCGTCCACCCCGTGAGCCCCCCCAAAAAATGATCTTGGGGCTGCTTCTCTGTCTTCCTCTTCGGCCGGCACCGTTGATGTCGCCGTTGATCCTCTCCTACCCGGGCTTTCTCCTTCATTGCCCTACCGTAACGGACGGCCTCCTCCTCTGTGATTTTCCCCCAACCGAGGAGGACATCACCTCCCGAGTGGCGCAGTGGTCTAAGGCACTGCATCGCAGTGCTAGCTGTGCCACTAGAGATCCTGGTTCGAATCCAGGCTGTGTCGTAGCCGGCCACGACCGGGAGACCCATGGAGCGGCGCACAATTGGCCCAGTGTCGTCCAGGGTAGGGGAGGGAATGGCCGGCAGGGATGTAGCTCAGTTGGTAGAGCATGGCGTTTGCAACGCCAGGGTGGTGGGTTCGATTCCCACGGGGGGCCAGTGTGAAAAAAATACAAATAGTGCAAATAGTCCGGGTAGCCATGATTAGCTCTTGGGGGTAGAAGCTGTTGAGAAGCCTTTTGGACATAGACTTGGCGCTCCGGTACCGCTTGCCGTGTGGTAGCAGAGAGAACAGTCTATGACTAGGGTGACTGGAGTCTTTGACAATTTTGTGGGCCTTCCTCTGACACCGCCTGGTATAGAGGTCCTGGATGGCAGGAAGCTTGGCCCCAGTGATGTACTGGGCCATACGCACTACCCTCTGTAGTGCCTTGCGGTCGGAGGCAGAGCATTTGACATACCAGGCGGTGATGCAACCAGTCAGGATACTCTCGATGGTGCAGCTGTAGAACTTTTTGAGGATCTGAGGACCCATGCCAAATCTTTTCAGTCTCCTGAGGGGGAATAGGCTTTGTCGTGCACTCTTCACGACTGTCTTGGTGTGTTTAGACCATGATAGTTCGTTGGTGATGTGGACACCAAGGAACTTGAAGCTCTCAACCTGTTCCACTACAGCCCCGTCGATGAGAATGGGGGCTATGAGTTGTCTTGAGCAGGTAGCTTAGTGGTTAAGAGCGTTGTGCCAGTAACCAAAAGGTCGCTGGTTCTAATCCCTGAGCCAACTAGGTGAAAAATCTGTCGGTGTGCCCTTGAGCAAGGCACTTAACCCTAATTGCTCCTGTAAGTCGCTCTGGATAAGAGCGTCTGCTAAATGACAAAAAATAAATACAAATAAAATAAATAAATAATGATTCCATATACCAAACAATGACATAATTCTAAACACATCACTTCCCTGTGTTATTCAGGTGAGTGTTTTGGCCCAAAGGAGTGTTTGGCCCAGGTGTGTCCATCCCTGTGGGAGAGAAAGTCTCCATCCTAGTGGTGGAGAAATGCTACTACAGCTGTAGGATCTTAATTTAAACCAGTCTCCTACAGCATGAAAATTATCCTGCAGCAAAAGGAAATGTGAATTATTATGTGGATGAGGTGATCCAATTAAGATCCTAAATCTGGACATGGAAGAACTTGACTGGCCTGTACAGTGCCCAACCTCACTAATGCTCTTGTGGCTGAATGGAAACAAGTCCCAGCAGCAATGTTCCAACATCTAGTGGAAAGCCTTCCCAGAAGAGTGGAGGCTGTTATAGCAGCAAAGGGGGGACCAACTCCATATTAATGCCCATGATTTTGGAATGAGATGTTCAACATTACATACTTTAGAATCATTTTTTCACCTCAAATACACTACAAGTTTTACATTTCCTACTTTGCAGGAAAATGCTCCTAAATCCTATATCTGGACATGGACACCTTTATGTCAGCCCACCCCTCCATGATAACTTCACCATAGAGATCCTATTATTATACAGTATTATACATGTCATTCAGTGTGTCAGTGTTTCCCAAAGGGTCAACAACATTTTGGTTTTTGCCCTGATTCATCTAATCAAAGGCTTGATGATGAGTTGATTAGCTGAGTCAAGTGTGTTGTTGCAATAACTAAAATGTGCATCCCTTTGGGTCCCCGGGACCAGGATTGGGAATCCCTGATGTAACTCTATTGGCTCCACTAATGGCCAGCAGGTAGAGATGATAGAGTACATAAGCCTGTTCAACCTGCCCAGGTACTCACAGTAGACGTGGGCTGTCAGGTCCACCATATCACCTGAGGAGGTGGGTTCAACTTTACATCACGTTACATGATAAACAGTGGCTTTAGTAGTTGACGGTGTTGATGGAGTTGTTGACATTCTGCTATTTAGTTTGATGTCTGAAGTGAGTGGTTTAACCCTTTTTTAGCAGCTGGTATCGAATGTGGTAACATTTAATACATGAAAACAATTTAAATATAAAATGAATTTATTTTATTTATTTTTAATTATTTTAAATTTACGTTTTTGATTAACTTGGATAATTCTCTTTGCACTAACGATGCTTCAATGATGCTTGTGTCAACAGGTGAATTAATACACAGTTATGAATGTCTTTATTTTTATAATAATGTATTAATTGATAATGTATTTCCCCAGATTACTACCAGCCAGAGGGAACCGTTACCACCACCAGTCAGGATGAGTTCCCTGACCTCTGACCCTAACCAGACAGAGAACATCAACACCATCATCCGACCCCCTTACTTCTTCATCAGTGGTTTCATAGCCATCCCCCACATGAAGTACTACTACGTCTTCCTCTGTTTTGTATACATCATCTCTCTGGTTAGTCCATAGCTCTGGTCCAGGGTGTTACTAACTAGCTCTGGTCCAGGGTGTTACGTGCGGCCAGCATCAGCTAGTTGGTCCAGTTGATAAAACTCAAAAGTTGTTCACTTTCCTATAGAAGTAAAATTTAAGAAAACATAATATACATTTCAGCTGAACTATGTTGGGGCCTATAGCACAACCCATAGTCACTGGCCTAATGCATGTACCTGTATTTCCATTTTGGTTCATTTCTGCTGTGTGTGTGTGTGTCTGTGTGTGTGTATTGGGTCTAGGTGAGCAACGCCTTCGTCATGACTGGCATCTACGTGGACCGTAGTCTCCACAGGTAATCAGACCTCTTTTATCTCATTAACATAATACAGTATAATACTTCCTTCATAGACATGTGTGGGAACACGTCCTACTCCCCAATCTCCTTTACATGACATTTATATTAATATTATTAGATATTTATGTTATGATCTTACCTTACAGCCCCAAGTACATTGCTGTGTTCAACCTGGCCTTCACAGACTTGTGTGAGAGCACGGCCCTGGTCCCCAAGATGCTGGATATGTTCCTGTTCAGCAGACAGCTCATCTCCTACGACCAGTGCCTCACTAGCCTCTTCTTCATCTTCCTCTTCCTCACCATGCAGTCCTTCAACCTCACCATCCTCTCCTATGACAGGCTGGTGGCCATCTGTTGCCCACTCAGGTCTCAGATAATAAATCAAATCATAAACTAAATTAAAATTCAAAAAGCCTACATTATGTGACCCTTATGGGATAAATAACGTATTTTTAATTGAATGATTAGATTTATTTGACAATTTATTCAAAATTATTTTGAAAAATGTATTAAATAAAAAATATGTTTTAACACACCATATGTATCCATATGGATACACTGTATATATAGAAGGATATAGTTACCTGGCAGCGGAGCCACCTTCATCACAGAGGTTTACCCAGGGTGAGGCTTGGCCATTGCACTCGGGCCGTGCTGACTCCTGCAAGTTCCCCAAATGTGGGAATCTCGACTGAATAATTATAAAACCATTGAGGATAATAACACGATAAAGTTGAACAGATGATTATTTCCCACAGAGATCCTATTAAATTACTAGAGGGGCTATGTCATCAACCCTCAAAGTTCCATTCTAGTGTTCTTTCCAGGTACCACATGATGGTGACTCACAGGTCCATGCTCCGGCTGACTGGGGCTGCCTGGACGTTTGCTGTGTTGATGGTGTTGATCTCTGTGGGCCTCATCACCCGCCTCTCTTTCTGTAGGTTAGTATGTACCATGTTGTAGTGCAATGACTCTACAGCAAAGCATAGCTTCTGTGAATATAGCTTAATCTGATCAATCAAATCAAACTTTATTTCAAGTGCATTTAAAATTGCAAAACACTTCACAGTAAACCAATAAAATGAAGGAGATTAAAAAAAACAGAATGTTATGTTGTTGTTGTCAATTGTCAGGTTGTTGTAAAGGTTAAATTTAAATGATGTCTTTGACTCAGTGCTGTAAAGTTGATGGCTCAATGTTGTCATTAACTCAGTTCCTCTTGAATGTGAGACTAATTCCAACAGATAAGGAGGTGAACCTGTAGCCGAAAGGTCACGGGTTTGTAACCCTGGAGAAAACATGAGCAGAAGACACATTTCTGTTGTTCGCTCTGATATCTGGACAATGTATTGTATTGTAGGTCTCTGGTGATCAACAGCTACTTCTGTGACCACGGTCCCCTGTTCCGTCTGGCGGCCCCCTGTTCTGATGTGGTCCCTAACCTGATGATGGCGTATATCAATCCCTGTGTAGCCCTCTATCTCCCCATGGTCTTCATCATATCATCCTACATCTGTATCACACACGCCCTGTTCACCATCACATTGCCCCAGGACAGGTGAGAAGTAATCCAGATTGGTATCAGTAAGTCAAGTCAAGTCATTAAGTAGCCTTGTCCAAGCCAAAACGGCCCATATACTGATTGGTGTGAGGCCTCAGAAATATGTTGTTAGAGTGATGGACTTGTTAGAGTGATAAATGCTGGGAAATATTGAGAATACAATTAAACTTACTGGATAGATGATCACATACTGTATATATGTAGGTATACATACATACATACCTCTCTCCCTCCACCTCTCTCTCTCTCTCTCTCTCTCTCTCTCTCTCCCTCTCTCTCTCTCTCTCTCTCTCTCTCTCTCTCTCTCTCTCCCCTTCCCAGACTCAGAGCCATTAAGACATGCAGCTCACACCTAATACTGGTTGCCATATTCTACTTGCCTGTTATTTTAACATACGTCCTCCAAACCCTCGTACCAACCAACGCCCGGATCATCAATCTCTCCCTGACCTCGGTACTGCCACCCATGCTCAACCCCATCATATACGTTCTGAAGACGGAGGAGTTTAAGGTATCGGCCAAGAAGCTATTCAGAAGAGGGGCCCAGAGAGCTGTGGCGCCGGTGAAATTAACATGAAGTACTTGAATTATTTTTCTTCAAAATAAAATGTTTATATTAAGTCTATAAGCCTTTATAGCCATTAAGAAATAACAAATATCAGTGTGACATCATGATTTAATGTATTTATTTAATGTATATTTTGATATTCTTATATTTAGAACAGTGGCGGTCCATGCCGTTTAAGATGAGGGAGGATGATTGTTTATTTATGAACATGGCCTTATTTCTATTACAGTGTACAGGATGACTGCCATTCATATTCCATTCACCCAGATCAATGTAACATCAATAGGTTTAGGCTACTACATGATACTCAAATATTTCCTATACCCATCATGAGGTTGCTACAACCTAGCCTACGAATGAAAGTTTACAACGCAGGTGCACAGGTTGAGAGAACATTTTGAGTAATCAGTGGTTGAGAGAACATTTTGAGTAATCAAGGTGACCGACAGTGACACATTCAATACCGCCTTGCACACTCTTGCCTGCATCTAGCTGATCTAGGGTGTAATCATTAGTCCAACAGTTGCAAACGAGAGTTTCTATTGGACAAATTCAGGTATGTTTATCCCCGTTTCGTTCCGTTTGCTTCCCTTTAAGAAATGTTTTTCAACAGAATTGGCGGAATGAATACACCCCTAATCACACGCAAACACAGTTCACTTTCATAGCAGCCACATACAAACTGCATGATCACTTTGCTCGTTGTAGAATTCGAGCACACACAGCCTACATCGTTGTCACCATATTAGCTAACGTTATAGTCAAGATAGCTACTAGATCTAACCCGTTAGTGAACCTGCTACAATCATGCAGTACAGTGTACAGTCAGCAGGCAGTTTAGCACTTACACCAGTGGGCCCCGGTGGCAATAAATTAATAAAACCAAAAGCCTTACCTTGACTTGGAAGAGTTCCAGTGTTGGATAGCCACTGCCAGCTAGCTAACATAGCATACCTCTAGGTTTGGTATTGAAGTCAATGTACCCAGAGGTGGACGGAAACTAGCTGTCTTCCGGCTACACCATGGCGCTACCCTACAGAGAGCTGCTGTAGACATTCATTGCAAAACAGTGTGTTTTAATCAATTATTTGGAACGTGAAGTTTTATCTAAAAAGGAGGATGGTCCTCCCCTTCCTCCTCTGAGGAGCCTCCACTGATTTAGAAGTACTTGAAGTGTCGAGTTTATTGATATCTCTCTTTTGCTATCTCGGTTGCTATCTCTACTTGACTTTTTTTTTGTTTTTTGTTTGGAAGAATGCTATGTGTAGCTAGTGGAGTCAATGGAATGGCATCAAACACATCAAAGCCGTGGTTTCCATTGACTCCATTCCAGACGTTATTATGAGCCGTCCACTGGTGTAGCTACAGTCAATGAGTGTATTGTTGCTTCACTTAATTAAGTGAAGTGGTATGAAAAAAAGTTTTTGTAAAATATGTACATTATGTCTATATGTGTTTAAAGAGCTTCTGTTTTTCTGCTCGTTAAGAAGAACGAGATTTGAGTCTGGAGGATTTGATGTGGGTGTGTCATGTTCGCTTTATCGTATCGAACATGTTTACAACTTCATCATCAGCAAGCTGTCAAACTATCGTAAATAAAGCACAAGCTGCTACAAACTGTTTATCAGTCCCCAAAATCACTAGCTAGCTAAGTTCCATCTCTGTGTTTGTCAATAACGCTAGCTAGTACAAGTAGCAAGCCACGTTAGCTAAATCAGCTTATCAAGTCACTGGTGAGTGGCGAAGTGTGTCCTTCGGTGCCGTTTTGTTTTTACAACTTTCTCACTATCTATTACCAGAGTGAGTCTGTCTGGCAGTGTTTCATCAGGAATCATATTACTAAACAGTCTAGCGGCGGGACCAAAGATGCTCGCCAAGGGGTTTACAATTTTGGAATATTGACAAGTGGCAGTTGGGATGAAAGTACCCATCGTCTCAATTCTCATTTTGCCCAAAACAGGCAGACTGGAGTGATCACTATCAAACACATCGGCAAGTGGCCACTCCATAAACGACCTAGGGGCCAAGTGTTCTTTCAACATAACATTGGTATTGTGTTGTTTTATGTTAACAAGTCCGAGGCGCTGTGTGATGGGCAGGTCTGGAGGTTGGCAGTGTAGTGTATGAAGAATAATGACTTTGCTAATGTTTTCAAGTGGAACCTGAGAGGATGTTTATTCTGTTTTAGAGGGAGACGTTTTAGAGGAACACCATAGAACAGAGGAAGTCTGTTGTGTGGAGACAGGTGATTGGTCTGTAGGGGAACACCCATATCAGATTACAAGCATATATACCACAGTTGGGACAAAAGAGGTCAGAATAATCATATTAGAGATGGGACGATTATTCTCCGGGTATCTGCAGGTATCTGTAAATCGACGCTGTAACCCTTTGTTATGAATAAACCTTATGATGAAAATACAGCGTCAGCGGGTCCTCCTTGTCATCACAGCATAATTAGCAACGTTAACTCGACACTACAAATGGCGGCGAGGATTTGGAAGGAATTGCGTTTTTCCTCAGCGTTCCATTCATGGGCGCCGAGCTTACTCTGGCTCCAGAGGCAGATAAGGGTGAGTTTTCTCGCTACTTTGGGCTCTGGTCAGTTCGTGTGTCTGTGTGTGTGCGTTGAAAGAATGCACCGTTAAAGAACTTGCGTGTGTGCGTTGCTGATGTGCTGTGGGATAGGAGTCCGTTCTAAATTTGTTTGCGCTGGTAAACAACGCAAAAAGGGTGGAGTGTCTATAGTGATATTTTGCTTGAATAAAAGTTCAAGAAGAATAGATTGAGAGGAATAAGGCCAAGGTATATGTGTATAACTTAGAACCGCTGCGACTCTACGGTAGCCCTCCCAGGAGGCGATCATTATGATGGGCCAAAAAATCCTAAAACACGTTAGGTGAAGTTAGGTAAGTCCAGGGGACTTGAGGCTGTGGTATATAATTCGATTGTATGTTACCTCTCAGCATGTGGTTGACAAATCATTTTGATTGATGTGACTACTCATTGAATTTCCGTGGGAACTCGTGGTAGCAGAAATTTAGAGGACAAAGGAATTTTACGACGCGGCGGAGGTAAAAATGATACATGCTACATGCTAATTGCTAAATGATACATGCTACATGCTAATTTTTTACCTTGGGGGTCCATTGGAATGGATCGAGCCTCCAGAACTGTCTTTAGAATAGTAGGATTTGTGTCCTCTGTTAAGTGTTATTGTTTGTCTATGAGGGGTAAAAGAGAGGAAGTACAGCGGGACTGTTAACTTTCTGTTGTCTGGCGTGGAGAGAGCTGGGAGAGAGCTCCTTCCACTGTGAAATCGTATTGATGTTTGAACTGCGCATGCGCGTGATTTTATGACACTTGAGTGACGTAGGGCTAAATATGCCACTCCTCTGCTACACTCCTCTGCGGGGAGATACAGACGAACGAAGAGAGAGGAGAAGAGTTAGGCTAATGGTGTATTCTGGTTGTTAAATCGGCAGTTGTTTAAAGATGAAACTATTTGAGACCTATCGAATTGATAAATGAGAGAGAGATGTTGATGGATTAAAAATAAAAATAATTAAATAAATAAATAAAATAAAAAAATGTTATTGAGCTATTTATATGATTCCTGAGTTAATTCTTAGCGCGAATGTGAACGGAGGAATATTGAATGTTTGTAATAACTTAGTGACTGCATAAACTGCTAAATTCTTGTCTGTTTCTTTGTTATTCTGTCATATGAGAGACGATAAGAGGAACGAGGAGAGAGAGAGAGAGCGGAAGTGCTGACGTGTACATCATGCGACAGGGTGTGACGCGACAGAGTCTGCTGCGACAGGATCAAGTCAAAAAAATCAAGGCTAGTACTGTTTTGTTTACAAAAACCTACCTTCCCATAAAGGATATGTTGTGTGCCTAGCATATTTGATATTATGACAATTTCACAGGGACTTGGCAAAAGACTGATCAATTGATGGAATTGCATATTGGAGTTTTTGTGCATGAGTGGGTTTGATTAGAGTTGAGTGGGGGAATCGAGTACTGACATTATTCTGTAAAATTAAGGTAATTGGATGCTTATTAAGCAATGAGTTTGTGAGTACTGTAGTGTTGCTGGATTAGAGGTCTTTCTTTTTTGGATTGCTCTGAAGTTGACTACTTGCATTTACTTTCCTGATTGGATGTGGTAAGATTGCCATTAATCAATGATTTGGTAAAATAAAATAAAATGAATAAATAAATAAATTGATGAATAAATTAATTGATTAATTAATTAATTTGGGGAAGAAGAAAAAATATATATAGAAAGAAAAAAATAGGGAGGAAGCCATAAGCTATATAGTCTAAAATAAAAATAATTTACAATAAAGGAATATAAAATAGTTGTTACATGGGGGAAAAAGGACATCAGAACTATGAAAGTAATTACACCTGTTGATATAGTTGAAAATAGTAAACATTGCAATACAATTAACTAAATGTTATCTGGAAAAGGGAATAAAAGTTGGCCTGACATTGAAGAACCATAGCTAGTAGAAGGAATCTTAACCCTGATGTCATCAACATGATGAAGATGAACGAATAATAGAGAGAGGATAAGCAGAAACGATGATAAAGATGAATCCAAAACTCCAAAAGAAGAAGAAAATGAGATGTCTGGAAACTAAGAGAAGAATGAGGTTAAGGAAGATGGAAACTTGAAGATGAAGATGATGAAGATGATGATGATGATCAGAGTAATTGAGAAGAGATCATGGGTGGATATGACTCTGTGATTAGAAGAAAGTTGGCAAGAGAGGAAAGAAGAAGGATACTAGAGATTTGATCTCTGATGGAAGTTGAAGGAAGAAGGATACAAGAGATTCGAGTTCTGATGAAAGCAAAGATGAAGACAGCGATGAAGATTTGGAGATTAAAGGTGCCTCATGTTCAAGAGGATTTTATTCTACAATGATTAGTAAAGAAGAAATAGAAAGAGATATAGACTGATGCGTATTAGGCCTGGATAAGGGGAATAATTT